TCTCAATATTGATAAGAGAAACTGAAAATGGCATAATTAATTCTACGTCGACAAGAACCTACTATATGCTTAACCAGATCTTCAACACGATATTGATTACAGCCATAAGCATTGTTTAGTAGGCAAGTATTTCAAATATCAATACATCCATACTATATGTATGTATGTATTTTTTTCTTCTCTCAATATCGTCTCATCGACTCCCAAAGCATAAATCATTACGATGTAGGTATGAGCGTTCTTGCAGGCTTACTACACTTTCTTTAGTATAAACTAGATTTGGACCGAGGCTGCTCTCGTATATAACGATAGTACCTAATAGCTTATATAGTTCTCCCTCGAATTTTTACGCTTTATGAAAATCCCTTTAAAATCGCCCTAAACCTTTTATCCTCCACACTTTATTCTCTATCAGCGGGATTTTATATTATTTTACCGTTCAAAGATAAAAAGGAATCAACGTAAGTCAAATAAGTATATATCTGCATAAAGATTTAAATAGTTAGTTTATATAAAAAAATATAATCTGTGTTTCTTCAAAAAATGAATTTTCCTACCGCGAAGACCGTAATTTTTTATTGAAAATTATTATATCTATTATTATTATTATATCTATCTATTCATTTAAAGTAATACGAAGTGACTTCATCCGATCTACGGGTCTACGGGACGCTTTCCCGTAGCTGACCCATGGATCGATAGATCAAGCATTCAAATCCACGGGGAAAATTTCCCGTACTTCAGGATTTTTACATTCACCTATAAATAACTTCTTAAAAATAAATTAAATGGTGTTTGTTATATACATTGATAATAATCAAAAAAAAAAAAAAACAATAAGTATATGCCAATATTTTTTTCCGACGTGTCGAATATTTTGCAACAAATATGGTCATGGAAAAGACCTATCTCTATACGAGTATTTTACATTAATTTTATTGATTCAAACTAAAATTTCTGACAAACATTTTTAAAGCCCTAGAGTAACGTTCAATATTGACACAGAGATTATTTCCGTTTTGATGCTCCGGGATATTTATAACTCCTTTTAGTGCCTCTAAAAGTCTATTTCAGTTAATCACCTTAATTTCAAAGCTGGAAGCTATCCATGATTCCAGATCGTTGCAATTTTGTCGTCGCAAATGTATGAGAATTTATTATTTTGTCAGCATTTTTGACCTACTTTAAAAAGTAAGGGTTCTCAATCTCAATACGGCTGTATTTTTTGTATTACCTTTGCGATCTTCGCCAATTGTGAATTGATGTTCATAATTATTTTTAACCACCGACGCAGAAAGAGGGGAGGTATAAGTTTAATGTGTGCATCTGTGTTTGTTTCCGGCATCATAGCGCCTTAACCGATATTCCGTCTTTAATTTAGTTTTTTTTTTTGTTTTAAAGGTGACTTGATCGAGTGTTCTTAACTATAAATCAAGAAAATCCGTTTCGCCGTGATACGTTAAGGGTGACCCCAAAAATATTTTGAAAAATAAAGGTCCTCTGTATTTTTTAACTAGAAAGCTTTGTTGACATGAATCTATCACATGTGTACGTATTTCTTATATAAATGTTGTTCATGCCAATATAATACAAAAAAAATGGTTTCAATATTTTTATGTTCAGTGAACCAAATGAATGTGTCAGGAACAAAAACTACGAACTTACTAAGTTGTTTTAGGCTATATTCAAAATAACCTGCGGCTAACGGTATTGAATTTATATATTTTTAGTGACTTCTAATATCTATCTGGTACAGTGGTAACGTATGGATATCACGAGTTCGATTCTCGCATTACAATTTTTGTAACTTACTTAGTTACCTAGTTACCGTGCAAATGAAATTGTTATGATTTTATTTTACTTCTGATATATACCTATTGTATTGAAATACTAAATCTCAAATGCCAAACATACATCTTTGATTTGCTAAAAAGAACTAAAAAATCATTTTCTATTAATAACTATTATAATACTTTATAAGTACTATATCACTATTTTAGCAAATTACTAAAAAATGTTTAATAGTAAATTAAACTTAATAAAAACGTAAAGAATTTCATTTCTACAAGCTCAAATCCAATCCGCGTAGCCGTTACAGTGCAGCGTAAAGAAGTAATACACTCAAAAATGTCAGCATTTGATTTTCAGATTGGCGTGATTGTTTGTGTGGAGATAGTTGGGGGACTGGAGGATTGGCTACTTTTTACTTCGGGAGATTATCTCATTCCCACGGAAAAACACAGAACACTTTTACTCAGGAGCGGCAAAACACGTTATAATACAAACTAAAAGTTATTAACCGACTTGAAAAAAGGAGGAGGTTTTCAATTCGCCAGAATCTTTTTTTTTATGATCAGAGAATTACTTGAAATTTGATAATAAATCATGATGTTTTTCAATACAATTAAATACGTGTTTTAGCATTTTTAGAAATTCATCCCATAAGGGGGTAAAATAGGGGATGAAAGTTTATATGAATCCAACTATTTTAGTTTTTTTTTTGTAGTTTAAGCACGAGCGAAGCCGCGGGTTCTACTAGTTAATATATAATTTTACAATGAGGTTAAAAATCATACAAAAACTGCTTCTGTTTAATTACAAAGAAAGGACATCTCAGTGGGCACATTGTATCGTAAAACTTCTATTTCCATGAATTCCATATATTTTTTTTATATTTCAAGACAACTAGAGCATAAAGTAATCGAGTTTTCATCTCCACAAAGCTAACGGTTCTTTTGTGAAGCTTCTATAATAAATACCTACAATCCTTGTTGGATTTCGCCTTTGACCTTTCATTCCATCATATTCAGAGCGTATATCAAAAATGGCTTAGCGCGAGTAAATAAAGCAGGTATGGTAATGGTATGGGTACATACATACATTTGTTTGAAAAAAACTAGTTTTGACCGACTACATAAATGAGGTATACAATTCGTGTTTTTTGCAGTAATTGCACTCGATATCGCCAATTATGTATATATTTTCATAAACTCTTTGTAAAACCATAGCAGAGTGATCCCATATGAATGAATCCGACCTAATAAAAGAGGAATAATTATTTTCAAGTGATTATAAAGTCGATGTACACTTTTTGTAAAAAGTGTTGTTACAGACGACTTTAGACGACGACTGAAGCACGGTAATGTAACATTACCGTGACTGAAGCTCGTGCACGTTTTCGCACGGCAAATCAGAGGTGCATACATGCTCGTGCTTTTATTAACCGATCGCCGCGAAATAGAAATAAGTACCCGCTAATGAAAACAAATTATCGCGTTTGACGCATAGAAGTTAAATTTAATAAGTTTGTTAATCTATACTATAATAAAACTGTAGAGGTCTGTACATAGAAAAAAAAAGCTAAAAACCGAGTCAGGGGATGTAAAAAGACAAATAGAACAAATCCAGATTTTTTTAATTTTTTTGTTTCTCTGTCTGTTTGTCTGTTTGTACGGGTTAATCTCCGAATCTATTGGACCGATTTAAATGAAATTTTGCATGGTGGTACCTTATATCCCCGGGCAACATCTTAGATACTTTTCATCCCGGAAAATTAAAGAGTTCCCGTGGGATAGTTAAAAACTATAGTAACTTATACAGCTTAGTACACAACAACTTATGCACTGCAATTTGGTAAAATTTGGCATGCCAGTCAAACAACAGGTTACTTTTCATCCCGGAAAAATGAACGGGATAAATCTCTTTGTTTTTCTAGAGGCGAACCCGAGCAAAGCAAGGGTGAGCCGCTAATTGGTAATAAAATAAAAACTCGATCTTTTTTTCATTCCATAACATTCGTCAGATAGCCGTAGGAGAGGCAACATGGAAAAAAATAAAGGAAGAATCAAACAATTGGAATATCATTTTCTAAATGATACTACAATACATTACATTAATACAGTCCTATAGCAATATTTGTGTGGGTATTTAAATAATTTCTTTTTAGTTTACAGCAATGCTATAGGAGGTTTTATTTTCAAGTAAACTTTAGGCGTATTGAATATGAAGGCTTAAATTAAACAATATACTTCAAACAAAATATTTTATTAGGAAATACAATAATATTTACAAAGAGAAAGAAAACCTACAATCAACAATGAAAGATTCCATTGTTAGTATTTCATGTATACTAGATAATAAACGTTTAAAAAAAAGAAAAAAATGGTATGTTGTAAATCTTACTACTATTATAAATGCGAAAGATAGGATGTTTGGATGTTTGTTACACAACCACGCCAGAACGGCTGAAAGGATTTGAATGAAATTTGGCACAAAGATAGATTATAGTCTGGAGTAGCACATAGGTTACTTTTTATCCCGGAAAAATGTACGGTTCTCGTGGGATAATTAGTTTTTATTTTTTCACAGAGCAAGGGATAGACTATCTATTCCATACTGTTAATACGCATGCAATTAAATTGATATCATCCACATTCACTAGAGAACCGGAAGTTATAGGTTCGATTTCCGCATAGGAACATTTGTTTGAAATTTGGTCAAGCTTGAGTCGGTATAGCGTAAAAAAACATTTACTTTTATATAGGTAACAAGCTTTTTCATTTTATATGTCACAATCTTTTTTGGCATACAAACGATTCTATAAGAGGTTCGTTTTGTCACAAATATAAGGAAATTACAATGGAACTCTAAGCACTAAAAATAAAAAAAATATATAATATGTAACCCTAAAATTTAATCGTATTAACTAGTTATTACATATTTTACAGTGTTCTTAAACTTAAGAAGTGTGTTCCATACAAATATCTTAATACAATTATTTAACCGACGTAAAAAAATGAAGTTCTCTTCTATAGACTATAATCAAAAACAACTCAATGAGTAGTAAGCGAAGTTAGAGTTAATAATATATATATATATATAAACGTAAATATGGTTTTGTACGTTGGAATTTCAAAAATCCTTAAGATGTTTAACTAAACATAACTTAAGACGAACTTTGTATAAGTTATAAAATGTTATATAAATGTCGATTACGATCACCTGAAAACAAAAATATAATTATATTAAAAATTATCTATACAGATAAATGAAATTGAAGTGTCTGTTTGTAATATCAAAATAACAGCTTTTTAATAAATATATATGAAAATAATATACGGTACGTATATGAGAAAAAAACGATTTTTTATTTTTTTTATCTATCAGGTTAAATTTTACGATTTTGACGGTACTTTCACTGGCAGATATCTGATCGAAGGAGTAACTTAGGCTACTTCAATTTAAAAAAAAAAGAAATAGGGTTTCGCGCAATAAAACTAAACCCACAAATAGTGAACAAAATCCAAATAAAACTATCTTTTCGGATTTTTTTGCGGATTTATTTTGATTTTTGGTTCCCGACGTTTCGAATGCTTTACAGCAATCATGGTCACGGGAGAGACTTAGGTTTTAGATGTCTCAAAGGCATTATATAGTTGTTACAGACAACCTACCAAACAAAATGAATGAAATAACCTAACAAAATGAATTCAAAACACGATGTTACACGAAGTAACATAATTTATGTTAAATTTAAGCTTGGAAACCGATCCTATTCTAGATGGTTTGTAGATATCACGAATCATATTATATATGTACCTATGAGGATAATTCGTACTCTTCACAGACACCCTAACTCGAGGTAAAATGTATATGTATGTAGTTTATTGTGTACAGTGTAGACTAGAATATAGTGAACACTAATGTATAGTGTAGACTAGAGTTTGGTGTATTCAAGCTGTATGGTAATTAATCAAAAAATTACACAATCAGCGACAAAAAACGTCCTCACCGAATGAGCGCTCATTTGAATATTTGAGCGTACTTTTAATTAAAAAAAATATTGTAAAAACAACTTTAAGCGTTGCATTTAAGGTTCAATTTACATTACTGCATGTTTCTTTCAATTAAACAATTACCTAAACACAATTGGTGACAGTTTTAAGAGAACTTTTGCATGGGATTGTGTATCTAGTACTTTATTGATCGATGTGTATATACCTTCTCTGCGTGTTTGCAGTGCGTTGCACGGACGACATACCGTCCACGAAGCGTGTACGGAAGAGAACGTTCGCATTGTTGAACATGCCGTCCTTCAGCGATACTATGATGAACTGTGCATAAAGAGATATTCATGAGATATTGTTATTACATTTTATTTTATTTGACATTTCGTAAACAAGTAACATTGAACATATTATACTGTGTTCGCCGAATGAACCAAGCACTGAGATTTTGCGCTTCCGAGCCGAGCGAAGCGAGGGTGCGTCGCTAGTAATCAGTTAAGTTAACATTATTATATATAGTTAGGTTTTACCTGTGAATGCCTGAAGTGATCTTTGAGCATCCGACCGATATTCTGCGTGTGGGAGAGGTCCAGTGCAGCATCCACCTCGTCTAAGATATAGAGTGGTGCAGGCTTGAACAGTAACATAGCGAGTACCAGCGCCAGGGCTACTAGGGAACGCTGTCCACCCGACAGCTCACCTAGAGACTCCTTCCATGTATTGTTGAAACCCACTTTCACCTATATACATACAGACATACACTGTAGAGACATGTTAATTACATAATTGTATAATATTTTAGCTCTCCATGATAATAATTTGATTATATAACACTGATATTATAAGACAGTGGAAAACACTGAGTGTATAGATAAATTTAACCAAAAAAGTTATATTGAATACAACTTTTTCATCCTTATGAGGCAGATTTCTTCATTAATCTTCGGGGACACAGCAAAGACAAGAGCCAAGTAATTTTATTTATCAAAGAAGTTAAGATATATGATACGTTCACTATAAAATGTCTAATTAGCTAACAGTTTATGATAAAGTTGTTGGATAGATGCTTCCATATATAGGTATTGAATAAATTAACCGACTTGGTTTTACATTAGATTTCACAACTTTTTGCGATAGAAAAACTGCGTTGCGATACTTGCATTTTTTTATATGTTATGTTTTTAATGGGATATTTATTGCGATCCCATTGAAAAGGAGAAGGGACGGAGAAAGGTAGATAGAGAGAAGGATAAGAGTAAGAGTCTAACCTCCAGCCCATCCAACACGGATAGTCCAGGGGGCGGTCGCAGCTGCGCCTGCGCACCGGGCAGCAGGGTGCTGAAGATGGAGCCGAAGTCGCGGTTGACCTGCTCGCAGGCCGTCACCAGCGTGCGGCGCTTCTTCTCGTCCAGCTCCGCCATCACTTGCACTAACTTGGCGCGATCCGCTTCCACTATCTTCTTCTTCCTCATGACGTCCTGGTACTGTTAACACAATATATATTATTATTTACCTATGTACATAAATAATGTAATGTAACAGACACATCTGATACATATTTGTAATACAAAATGTTCAACCGACATTAATAATTATTTACAAAAAAAACTTATTTTCACTTAACAGTTTTTTTAAAGGTTTTATTTACAGCACAAGTAAAGAGAAAATTCCGAAAAATAAAAAAAGTTGAAATTTAAGGTAAATTTTGGTACTTACAAATTTTCGCGAAAATGTAAATTTGTCTAGATCTTTTTATCGTATTGACTCAGGACCATGATCTTAATACACCCAATAGGGACTATAGATCTCAGTATCTGGTATAAATTTCAACTCACGGACAGATAGACGGACAAGAGAGTGATCTTATAAGGGTTCCGTTTTTTTACCTTATTAGGTAAGGAACCTTAAAAAATTTAACCCACCTGTTCCTCCTCTTTCCCCAGCAGCGTGTGCGCGCGCGCATTCAGCCCGCGCGCCAGCTTGTCCCTGCGCTCGCGCAGCTGCGCCACGCGCGCGCCCGCCACGCCGGCGCCGCACTGGGCGCGCGCGAAATCGTACGCACCGCCCGCCAGCCCGAAATACTGGCGCTCGCTGGAGATCCACGTGTTCTCTTGTTCTAGCGCTTGTATCTACGTATGTTGCGATAGAAATTATTATGTTAATATCTATCTGCCTCCATATTTAATATCATAAATGTGAAAGTGTTTGTTTGTTTGTCCATCTTTCACGTCCAAACAGAGTAACGGATTGGCGTGATTTCTTGTGTGGAGATAGTTAGGAGGACTAGAGTGACATATGCTACTTTTTACCGCGGGAGATTATGTCTTTCCTACGAGAAAACACGTTAGAATACAACCCAAGAATATATTTGTGGTCAGAATTACTTGAAACTTGTTATTAATACTCTTCCATACAATTAAACAAATACGTGTTTTAGCCATACAATTAAACAAATACGTGTTTTAGCCATACAATTAATTAAACACATACGTGTTTTAGAACGTTTTTATGTAAATAGTCAAACTATTCCAGAGTTTAGTATATTTATACGGGTGTTCTGTGAATTAAAAAAATTATAAACCTGTAGGTATTGTAATACAAAAAAATCTGAAAAGCAGTAAACATATTATCGTGTCCGGGAAACGAATACGTACCTTCATGCTGACGTCATACTGACATATATAGAGCCTAGGCGGGTGGGGAAAATTAATAAGAACGAATGTTCAAACTAAAAAATAGATAATTTTGTTTTCGAATTCGAAAAAGTCGGTGGGAATATGTATCATATGTGTTATACTGTGAATGATTTTTAAAATAAAGGGGCATGTAAATAGCAGACAAAGTGTCCTCTTTTTTCAAGTTGGTCAACACAAAAACTAAACCTTACCCTCTTCTGACAATCTGCTGCTTCTCCTTGAAGTTCTTTGATCTTATAATCCAACTCCTTGATAGAAAGTTCCAACTCTGAATTGACCTTAGCAAGTTGTTCTTTGCGTTGAGCCAAACGAGATATATCACTGTTCTTGCTTGATATTTCTGCTTTCTTCTTCTTTATTTTCACTTGTAACTCTTTTACTGCGTCCTGCAAATTGATTCTTAGAATGTAGAAAAGCATGATTAGAAGTAAAAGTAGTAGTTGAATATTTGAGTAATTTTTAGTAAATTTTCACCATAATAGGGAATATGCGTGTGATTTAAACAAAGGTAAAATATTTTTTTTTATAATCAATCACATCAATATTTTTAATGTTAAATCTTTTTTGATTAAGAAAATAATTATTAAAAATTCCAAATATAGGTGAGGAATTCAAAGTAGTCGAAACGCACACCATTGGTCAGAACGAATATGACGTCAAAGTATTATCATAGCAATGCGATTAGCGATTTGGTCGCTACAACTTGCAAATCATCATCTTATTGCTTATTTGTTCAATACTAGTTGTACTTAATAGTAGTTTTTTCCTGAATTTTAAAAATAAAGCTTTATTTCTAGGATTTATATAAATTATAGATATTGTAAATAAAAAAAGTGAACAGAAAGTTCAAAACATTTAACTTTTACATAACAAACACTGATATACAAAAACTCAAGACACACAATCAGCGTCCCAAAAGTGTTCTAAAAAAAAAGTTCGAAACAATTCGAAAAGTGTAAATAACACAATACTAACCACAGCCTGTTTATGCTCAGCAGTCGCCTCATCCACAGCAGCTTGGAGCTCCCCCGAGCTGGTCTCCGTATCCTCGAGCTGCGCAGCACTGGATGTTACCGCTTTCTCCAACTCTTGCACCTCCAATCTGAGGGTTTCGAACTCTTGTTCCCGCTGTTTCCACGAGCTGCTATGATGCTCTGCGTCCTTCTTAGCTTTCTTTAACGCTTCTTCTGCTTTTTTGAACTCTCTGTAGCAAAAATAAATTAAAATTATTATATTATTAAGTATATTAATATTATTTATGATCTATATAATCCTACTTTATAAAGATTTACGAACATCTGAAAATGGAAACCTTTAGGTGGTACGTAGTTTTATTCTTTGTCACTTCTCCTGAGACACTCAAAAAAAAAGTGAATCCAAACTCAGTACCATTTCTAGCACCCGTTGCCGTGTTTTTATTAACCTTATCTTAAATAAGACTATTCACATCATTCATTACAAATACATATTATAAAAATAATAAACCTTTCTCTATGTCCTTTGATGTCCTTGACCTTGGCCTCTAGTTCACGCGCGCGCGCTGACGCCTCCGTTTGGATTTTCTTGTCTTCTTCCACGGCGGCCGTAAGGCGAGTTACCTGTATTCGAAAAACGTTATATATTAAAAAAAAATAATAATTATTAAAAAAAAGGTAGTAAATAGATTATATTTATATTTTACGAGTATTTAATTTCATCAAAGTTTCCTTGTGTGAGAACATTAATATTACTTCCACTAACATAACTTGCAAATCATCGCGTTTGTGCTTATTTGTTCAATGATATATTCCTGTAATTTAAAAACAAAACTTTATTTCTAAGATTAATACAGATAAATAATAAGGTTTTTTTAATAAAATGTGTATTTCATACCAATAGAATTGACATTTAAAAATCAATATTTCTGCATTAAATACTCTTTCCATAAACTGGTAATTTGAAGAAATAAGCGCTGAGATGACGACGATACATTCATTATCACACATCAGAACATAACTTATATGTCGCAGGGAAATTGTAAGAACCGTTAAATTATAATTTCACCTGTGAAGTGCTTCGATCAACAATACTACTAGATAACGCGTCACATACAAAATCAAAGCTAAATTCTGTCAGCGCGAATATGTACTTATACAGCTTCATTTGTATACTACCGAACCAAGACAAAGTCTTATAATAGTTTTATTTTCAAGCTAATCAACACCATAGCACCTTGTAATAAAGTCACAAATTTTCGAATTATCATCATACACTTACGATCATTTCGTAAGTTTTATAATCTTTATTGTAAAATCAACCTTATTTAAAAAAAAACATAAAGCACTTTTTCCCATTCTTGCTTTGTGATCTAAATCGTTGTTTTGTTCCTGTTTGCTTCTTTGAATTGGCGCGTATATTGGCCGACCTGGGCCAACGTTCTTAGCGGATTTAAAATTGTTCAAAATTTCATTTTTATATTATTTCGTAGGTTAAATCTTAAAATACTGACTACATGTATTTACCGAAAATAAGACACTCCTTCTGAAAAATTTCTTCTTTTTGCAACTTTGAAATATATATTGCGGCATTTTGAACGTGTTTACGTTCGCAGTGTTTTAATAGAACTAATCGAAATATACGCTCGCTCTCTTTGCAAGTGAGGATTTCTTACGCCTACCCGATATCTAGTAGTAGTGTTGATCGAAAAGTGAAGTTGAAGTGTGAAGAAGTGTATAATTTCACTAGTGAAATTATAATTTCCCGGAATTTTGTCAATTGTCTACTTTGCTTACAATTTCAGGGGTCAATTTTAGATATATTATAATTTCACTAAATACATTCAGTGACATTGTAATTACATATATACATTAAAAACATATATAATTACATAGCAATACTAGGATGTGGTGAAGAGACAAAACTCCGGGTTTTTAGTTTACCTGCGACATATAAGGCCCAAAAAGAGTGAAGAAGTGAAAGTAAAAGTACTCACAGTTTCGGTGAGTGCGTCAATTTCCGCAGAGAGCTGGGCGTGCGCGCTAGCCGCTACGCGCGCCTCCGCTACCGCCAGCTCGTGACGTGACATCTCCACTCTATATACAGTAGGTGAAAAATTAATTTAAATTACATTATGTAGTAAATAACATCTAAAAATAACGCGCTCGGTTGAGGACCGAGTGAAGCGAGTTCAAATCTCGGATCTCGCACGTCTGATGAAGGAAAACATCGTGAGGGAACCTGCAGTGAGTTTTCGAAAGACATGTAAAATTCGCCCGCGCTTGGCCAGCGTGGTGGACTATGGCCTGATTCCTCATATTAAAGGCAGGGCCGTGCCCAGCAGTGGAAAATTAAAAATAGTTGAATGCAAAATATATATTTGCATTTTGCATTCCCTGGTTGCACCCAACGTAATTCACCAATAATATATATAACAAATGATTACTTCTGTTGTAACGTGTTGTAATTCTCTGCAGCGTGCTGCATGGCGTCGAGCTCGGCGCTGCACTGCGCCAGCTGCGCCTCGGACTCTTTGAGAGACGCTTCCAACTCTTTTAGTTCTGCCAACTGTACTAGTATCGAACCACCCTGGGATAGAAAATACACATTTTATAAATTGATGTGAGGGTGTTATAAGTTGGTAAAATAGTAGTTTACATCCGTTTTTCTTAAAAATTTAGAAAACTGTTTGGTTTAGCGCAAAATATGTCATATACAAAAATAATCTACAATAAATTGTGAACAAAAATGGTTCCGTGCATCCGAATCCGAACGGTTCCAGACTAACGGAGGATGTAAAAGTCGCAATTTTTCGTATTTATTAGCTTTTTTGGAAAAAATTAGACATAACTAAGTAACTAATTAATAAGTATATGTGTAAGTTAATATATTCTGTATAAGTTTCCTAAGTAGTAAAAAAAATTGGTGGTCCTAATATTAATATTTAGAGGTCGCGCATTGCGAATTGCCATTTGGACAGAAATAATATGGGAAAATTTATTTTTCAATTTCAAAATTTATATCTCAAAAACCTACAGATAAATTCGAATGACCAAAACACATTTTTGTAGCGAATTGATTATTGAACGTATTACAAAAAACGCCCTTAATTATTTTTCGATAAACCTAGTCGTTCAACAGTCATTCAAACTGAAAGTTAAATTTATGTTATAATTACACCATTTTCGGTAAAATGATATAAATTATTATTAAAAGTTATAAAAAAAACTCCGAAAACCTATTAATTGTGATTCCCTGTCAAAGTCACGTACCATATTATGTTAAAAAAGGCTGAATACAATAGACTGATAACATTAATGAGTAAGTACCTTTTGTCTCGCTCCACCAGATAATGTACCAGAGGGATCAAACACGTCACCGTCCAGTGTGACGCTGCGCGCGCGCACGCGGGGGTGGAACGTGACACGCTTGGCTGCCTCCAACGACGCGCACACCAACGTGCCTCCGAACACCCACGCCATGGCCGGCCGCAGGGACGAAGGGTACGAGATCAAGTCGAGTGCCAGCTGCACCTCGGATGCACCGCCGCCCTATAACATCTTTGCTATTTATGGGATCCTGGTAGCTATAGTTTGTTTCCAAATAGGAATTAGATCGAGCGCTAGATAAGCTTTTGATTGCACAGCCGTCCTATACATTCGATTACATTGCGATTTAATTTGATTTTGACAATTTAATTAACCAATAAACGCCGTCAAATTGTAAAACGGTCACGGATTAGTCAACTTTAAACTATTGAGTTAATAAAACACAATTCATGGTCACCTTTTGTTGTTGTCCAAACAAACAATTTCTTTTTATCTCTTCGTATAAATAACACTAGCGTCTCATTCTCGTTTCGCTCAGGTTCGTACCAAGGAACGTTTTAATTTTTTTGAGCTTTTTGAAAGTCTCGTCACAATCAGTCCAGCCGTTTCAGAGATTATTCAGAACAGACAGCCAAAAATTTTAAAAATTGTGTTTTTCTTATAAGTACAGTAATTTCATATGCATTTAGTAAAACGCTGTTATTTTGACATTTAGATACAAATTGTGTCTATTCAATATTTAATTATATTTATCTGTATGTATAGATTAGTATAGATAGATAATATACGTACAATCTCCTGCGCAAGCCTCACAGTGTCAGGCGGTATGACGTGCGCGGAGATCTTGTTCAGCGGGATGATGGTAGTGCGCGACTGCAGCCTCCCGCGCTGCAGCAGCAGCTTACTCGTAACCTCCGTGTCCACCACCACATTATACAGCTGCCGAATAATACATTATACAGAACAATTAAATATACTAAAATACTAAATCTTATTTAAATTTTAAAAAGGCTAACGTCATGTAATTGCCACTAAAAAAATTATGATAAATATAAAATCATTCATAAATAAACCTCTACTCAGATTTTTTCGCGAATTTATTTTGATGTCTGTCTTACGACGTTTTGAATACTTCACAGCAATCATGGTACGGGAGAGATTGAGACTGGCTGTCTCTCCCAAAACCGAAATAAATTCGCGAAAGTTTCAGAGAGAGAGCAAAATATATTTTGCTTTTGGAAAAAAAACTCTCGTTTTCTTTAAAATTTCAAATATTCACGTATAAGAAAGTATTATCATTTATAAATATAAAATGCATTTTTATCATATGGCACTAATGCTAATAATAATAAATTAACAAACTCCTTACCCTTCCGCCGGCAGCAGTTTCCAGCGCCGTGCAGTAAATGGGATCCTTCACATCCAGGAGTCGACACACTGTGCCTATAACAAATGTAATAAATAGTATAATGTATACATTATTAGCTTCACAAAGACACTCATTGTATAATTTGTGGACGGTTAGAATTGACCATATATACATATTTATATTTGTAAAGTTTTCTATGAATTAAAAATAATATGCTTCATTAAGTATATAATATAATTAAATTTAAATATGTAAATATTTCTGCAATTTTTGCTTGAGAAAACTATTGGGTAATACTAATATAATATAATAATAAATTAGATTGCATATTAATATGAGATTCAATTCTTTTGTTTTGTATATTTTAATCAAGCAGAGAACTTTGAAACCATCAATAAGAGAATCGAATTAAATTATTATATTATTATTATGATACAGGCAGTATACCTTTAACACGTTGCGCGTCAAAGTCCGACGTGGGCGGGGTGTATCGGAAGTCACATCTCTGTAGACGGGCGGCCAGCGCTTCCGCGCGGTCGCGGCCGCTGCGCACGCTCTGCTGCAAGGCGCGTGCACGAGCTTTCATCTCAGTACTGCGCTCCTCGCTGTACTGGCATGACGCTAGTTGAGTCTGTGGATGTATATGAGTTAGTTGTAGCTTCCTTACGGGGATGATACACAACTAACTTCCCAATTCCGAGCTGTTATGGAGAATTTCTTGACAGGAATAATTAATCATTTGGAAGGTAAAAACAGGACTCAAACCCATCATTTCCGGATCTGCGGCCGTACATGCTAGCCACTAGACCACCGAAGCATTTCAAATAATAAAGAGTATATAAAGATATAGCGCATCTGCAAGTAATAAATAATATAATAATAAATGTACAGCGTACCTGCAATCAATAAATAATTTATATATAGGTGTAGCGCGCCTGCAAGCAATAAAGAGTATATAAAGGTGCAGCACACTTGCAATCGATCTATTCTAATAATATAAAATTTGTTTTATTGTTTGTTTGTATCAAATAGGCTCTAAAACTACTGAACTGATTTAGATAAAATTTAGTAAGAAGATATTTTAAGACCCTGGGGAGGGCATAGGATAGATTTATCCCGGAAATCATCCCTCAAGAGGGTGAAAGTGTGTATGGGGAAGCAACAGTAAATAATAATTTATATATAGGTGCAGTACCACTGCAAACAATAAAGAATATACATATGAACATGTAGCGCACCTGCAACCGGCCGACGTCGGCCCGCAGCCGCTGTATGGCGGCTGCGTCGCTGCGGCCCTGCGCACCGCTCGCCCGCAGCTCCGCCTGCAGCTCGCGCAGCCGCTGCTCCGCGTGACGCTTCTCCATGTTGCTTTGGGATATACGCGTTGACGCTTCCGAGGCGCTTTGTTTTGCGGCTGTGGTGGTTAATTTTATTATTTAAAACTACTTTGAATTCGTTATGATATCAGACATGCCTCTTTTGATGCTTCATTGCATGATGCAAATGTGTTGATAATATGTACTTGTACTTGTAAAAACTTATAATAAAAAAATTACATATAAGTAACTGTTTTATATATTTGTTTATTTATAAATTCGCAGACGTTAGACTTATGCGATAAGTACACAAATAAAAAATAGCCTACAATAAAATACATAGACTCCAGGATATCTCTATTCAGAATTCCTTTACTGTAATTCATTACAATTTTGAATTTTTACATATTATACATTCGTATGCATACATAATTTCCAGTACAAAACATTTACAACAACATACCCATAAGTTGATCCTGCAGAGACTCTGAAGCACCCTCAAGCCCCGAGCTGACGGCAAGGAAGCGCTGTTGCGCTTCCGCGAGCGCCGCCTCGCTGCTCTCACTTGCAGACTTCAGGCTTTCGAATGTTGATGATACCTAGATTTAAACTCACTTTTTACTACATATTATAAACTAGCAGACAGACAAACAAAAACAAATATATCCTACGGGAACCAGAGATAAAAATAGCCTATTTGTTATTCTGATGTATGAACTATATTATCGTAAATTTTCAATAAAATCAAATCAGTACTTTTTGTGTACTAAGCTGTATGAGTTACTATATTTTTTTTAACTATCCCATGGGAACTCTTTAATTTTCCGGGATGAAAAGTATCTAAAATATTGACCAGGGATATAAGGTGCCACCATGCAAAATTTCATTTATATTGTTCCCACAGTTTCGGAGATTAGCCCGTACAAACAGACAGAGAAACAAAAAAATTAAAATAAAAACTGGAATTGTTCTATTTCTCTTCTTACATCCCCCTGACTCGGTTTTTAGCATATTTTTTAGGTACAGACATTCGACCTCTACAGTTTTATTATATGTATAATTAAAGTTCAGGTCAGTTCAGCAGGACAGGCTGTCTACTGATGCAGACCACAACAGCCGAGACGTTGCACCCACGGTCCCCTGGATTCACGCCCGGCTGGATTGCTGGACGCTAATGAGCCCCCTAACCACGACAAGGTGAATGAACATTGGGGGATAAACCCATACCTAATACCAACCTTATCCAAATGCTGTTTCTTCGAAGCAAGAGCAGCACGATCGTCAGCAAGCGCTCGCTGCAGTAAGCGGGAGCGTGTTCGATGTGCTGCCAATGCGTCTGCAGCGCCCCGCAGCGCTGCACCCGCACCCGCCTCTGTCCGCTCTGCGCTTTGCTGCTGCGCTTCAAGCTGCTTCAGTGCACTACCGCTTTCCTGTATAATACAATTGTTGATCATATAAATACCGCAAATTATGTAATACTGTAATACAAAGATATAATATTAGAAACTTCCTATTTTTTAAATTCTTGGATAATTTTGTACTTGATATCATTTATCTATTTTCTTTTATGAAAACGTGAACACTAAAATGTGCGTACACTATATTTTAACAAAATACAAAAGCAAATAATTTAGTGCAATATGTTACTTTGAAAATATATCATTACTCCGTTTGGTTATTTTTTACTTAATTAAAATATCAAAATGGCGGCTTTTTGGCGGCAATTTGTGTCTTGAAATTTTTTTTTCATCAGAATCACATAAGTGGGGTATCAAAATACAAGGTTTTAAGAGGCGATTACAAAAATACACAAAACTTATATGTTTAAAAGTAATTTAGGATAAGAAATCTAATATTATAAATGCGAAAGTTTATGAGGAGGTATGGATGTATCGATGTTTATTACTATTTCACGCAACAACTACTGAATGGATTTTAATGAAACCTTATAATAATATTTAGCTCATACATCAGATTAACATATAGGCTACTTTTTATCCTGGAAAAATATATGGTTTCCATGGGATAGATTTGTATTTGTTTTTCATATTCATAGTTAGATTTCAAAATAAGGTAAAATATGTAATAAAGAATTTTAACAAATATAAAAACATAAAAATTGCATGAAAATATACCTCATCTAGTTTCTTATTGAGCTCAGAAATCTGCTTGTCCAACTCTTTAGACTCTTTTTCATTGTTTTTGATATTCTCTTTCTTAGTTTTGATCTCATCTTGTACTTCTGTCACCTTTTTTTCAGCTTCTTTTGTGCTTTCCTCTGCTGTTACATATCTGAAATGTAAGAAATAATAAAATAGTAGATTCAATACTAAGTTAGTGTTTTTCCTTGCAGATGTCATAATATCAACTTTACTATGTCAAACCAAATAGGCCATTTGTGGTATCTCTTTATACATAATTTTTATTTAACAGTGAAAATAAACTTAATAGTTATGTGTTCTTTATTTTGTACAAATAATTACATTTGAATACTAGTGACTTACCCTCGCTTGATTTTTTTTGAAAAGAACTTTCATATTATAACATCAGCTTTCTGCCAGTGAAAGTTCCATCAAAATCAGTCCAGCCGGTTCGGAGATTAGGCGTAACGAGCCGACAGAAAGACAGACAGTCAAAAAATTAAAAAAATATAAGTACCATATACAATTCATATACATTTACTAAAAAGTTATTATTTTGACTTACAAACAGATTTATGTGTATAGATATTAACTTATATATTTTTATATCATTGATAGATATTTTGATTTTATTCATAAGTATAGACAAAGGTAAATTTTATAATGACAGATAACTCACTTCCAAGCCACATAGAGCCTGGTCAGGTTCTCTAGCTCTCTCACCACCTTCTGGTACTCTTGAAACTGAGACCTTTCATCTTGTAACTTTTGTAATTTTGGTGCTATATCCTCTTTGATTATCTGAAATATGAAAAAATAATCCCATCCCAATTAATATTATAAATGCAAAAGGTTGGATTGATGTTTGTTACTCTATCACACCAGAACTGCTGAACAGATCTGGATGAAATTTGGCACAGAGATAGATTATTATAGTCTGGAATAGCACATTAGTTACTTTTAATACTGGAAAAATGTACGGCTCCTGTGGGCCATTTGTTTTTGTTTTTCACTAGGGAATAACCCAAGAGAAGCAAGCGTGAATCACTATTTGAATATAATTTAAATGTGTCAATTATTTGTTTCAAACAAAGCATATGAAACAAAAAAATAAGTTATGGTATATCAGTTATATACTACATTAAAATTACATAATAAATAATATTTAATATTCAATTATTTAGCTTATAAAAATTTATAAATATTGTAAGGTGCCATTTATCTATTTCTTTAAAATCATTATATAATTTAGTAACTTTATACGAATACAATATAATAACTTTTCAACCTTAGTCTCTTCTATGACCATGATTGCTGTAAAGCATTCAAAATAATGGGAACCAAAATTGGAAAACAATAGTTTTTTAAAATACTTACATCATTTAATTCTCTGAGCTTGGCATCTTTCTTTTCTATAGTCTTCTGTGCCGCCTGCTTTTTTGCTTCATACATTCTTGTGCCAGCCGCTTCTTCAACCATTGATAATATCTATATTTATCAAAATAATAGTACAGGTTAAAAATTTAATAACAATAAAATTCTATTATACTAAACATGTTATAATATGATTGTATATGGTCTGAGGCTTCTTCTTTCCGAACTGGTAGTAGACTCAAAATGTTCAGTAAAAAATTGTAATTACTCAATTTAAATTGTATTTAAAATACATGGCAACTAGAAATATATTATAATTTATTAACGAAACTGTAGACGAAAAAGGTTATTTCTAACAGTTCTTATAAATGAACAATGATGAAAAATCACAAGTATATAGTACCTCTGGTGGTTTCATGTTCAAAACCTTGGTAATTCTTCCCTGCATAATTAAAAAGTGTGGATTGTTCACATTGAGTTGTACTGAGCAGAATAGATCACTAACTCTCTTGTTTTGCACATTGATGCCATTGATTAAATACTTATTTTTGCCACCCATAACCACCTGTAAATCATATAAAAATAAAAAGGCAAGAATTTTTGGACACCTTACATGGTTAGATGTTATAATAATTTATTTACTTAATGGGTTTAAAAATATATTGTAATATTTACACAAATTATAAGATATTTACTTAATCAAATTAAATATGTAAGTTATTTATTACAAGTAATTTGCAAAACATTGAGCCACAAATATTTTAGAAAGATAAATATCCCACCTGTCTTGTAACGGTAATTTCATCATGGTTCTCATAGCCTATTGGACACTGTCTCTTATCTCTATTATCGAATGTAATGCTAACTGTTGCTTTTGTGATTCCAGCCTGACCATGTTTGTAAATAAGCTCCTGAAGACTGCCTGCTCGTACCTGGACATAATTATATGCTATACACAATACATACTATAAAAATGTAGTTTGTGTACAGTAATGAAAGAGTTAAAAATAAAATCATTTAATTCTACATATACGGTACAGCACATCAAAATTATAGAAAATGCTAATCTTAAGAAAGTGGCGCCAATTAACATTGTCTATCATTGTTTAAGCATGTAAACACAACCAAAAATATGACTTACATTTGAAAGATTGGTAATTCCTAATACAAAGCAAATGGAATCCAATATATTCGATTTTCCAGTTCCATTTAAACCAGTAATAGCGTTGAATTCTGGGTCGAAGCCGGTTACTTCCACTCGATTTCCATAGGATTTAAACCCATCTAACACTATTGACTTGATGTGCATTTTGCACTCAATAGAAATTAAAAGTATAAAATGGTTTAATATTAATCACAAACTATATAGAAATGCTACGCATATATTTAAACTAGAAGCTTTTTGTAACATAACAATAGCGGGAATAGGGAACCGTTGCGATATTTTGTTTCAAAGTTTGACATTACACAGTTGACAGTGTCATAAAAGTACAGACTACAGAGATCAGTATATCTAAAAAATATTGTCTATAGACTAAAATACTAAGGAAGAATTTTTCCATTACCAACCGCCAGATGTCACAATTATTATGATCCTCAGTATCTTGTACAGCTACAGCGTGAATGATTTTTTTATTATATTTAAATTTTAATTACAATTACAAATTGTGCCGTGCCAGGATGCAAATAAAATGGATATCATTTGTTCCCAAAAGGCGAAAACTGAAGAAATTGTGGGCTAAAGCATGAAGGATGACCAAAATTGGGGTTGAGGAAATCACAACCTTAATTTATGTATAAGGTTTTGCAGACACCATTTAACAGAAAGTGATTTTAATACTGTCAAATTGTCTACATGTGATTATTTTTTTTACTACTATTGAAACTTTTACAGATACATAATAATAAACTACCATAATAGTTTATTTATTTATTATAAAGGCTTACTAACGAAATTTACATAAAACATTTATTTAACTTTATAATTTTACCTATTTGTATATAAATTTAATTTAAAAGTAAGCACAGCTTTTTATAGAAGTATTCCATTAAAATTTTATGGTAGTTAAGAGCATATAAGGAGCCATTTCAGTTGTACAATAAAGAAAAGAAGAAAAAAATCTAATCTAAATATTTAAATACATTTTCCTTTTAAATAAATTTAAACTATCAGAAAAAATGTCTATATTACATTGCTGAAATATAAAATAATATAATTTAAAGATTCCTAAGAGTGGTAAATTAGAACCGTATCTATTTTTTTGTTGTGGGATATGTAGTGGTTTATAGTTAATAGCTCTTGCTGCAGATCTTTGTGTTTGTATATTTACTAGCGATAGTAGTGACGGACATTGTATGTAATTATTCACTAATTTAAAAACAAACATGAGTCGCAAAAAGTCGCATCTTGGGCGTAAAGTTTTCAAGTTAAAGTGTTCAAGCTTTTTTTCGTATCTAGAATCTATAAAATTGTGGCGACTGGTATAAACAAGTCTTTTTAAAAACTTTTTTGTATTTTTTCTATTCGTTGAATGTTATTCTGATAATCAGGGTACCAAATCAGACTACAGTAATAAATATTGCTGCGGACAAGGCAAAAATACAAAATTTTTAGTGCACGTATTGATTTGAATTTTTTGGTATTACGATGAATAAAACCTAGCATTCTTAGGCTTTTGCTTATTACACTATTAATTTGACTAATGAAACGCAATTCTTTATCCATAATTATACCAAGATCTTCTATTTCTGTCACTTGATTTAGTCTATACCCATTGATATCATATGTCGTATTAAAAATAAATCTTTTTCTTGAAAACTTCATATTATGAAAGCACTTTTCTGGATTCAGTTCCATCAAAATTACCCTTGCACCAGGTACATAACCTTCCTATACCATCTTGAAGTTCTTGCATACTAATTTCAGAGTCAACAATTATAAATAGCTTTAAGTCGTCAACATAAAATTCAAAATTAGAGTTGAGAATATAATGTTTGATATCGTCAACATAAGTTAAAAATAGTATTGGCCCCAAATGAGATCCTTGGGGTACACTAGAATATAATATAATACTTTCCGACAAGAATCCTCAGATTGTAGTAATAATTATACCGAAGTTCCAGAGAGTAAGTTTTTGGACATAAATAAACGACCATTTACAAGTTATTACAATTGTGATATTCACATTCAGATTATAAACAATAAATAGCCCACAATTTCTTTAGTTTTTTCGTCTTTTGGAAACAAATGAATTTTTTTTTTGCATCCTGGCACTGCACAATTTGACGTTTTAATAAAATTTTAAATAGAATGAAAAAAATCCATCCATACCATACAGCGTTACAAATTACTGAGAATCATAGTGATTGCGAGATCTGGCGGGAGAAAATGGAAAAAATTCTTTCCCCCTTTCGTTTGGTACCATGCAAGTTGTCCTTTTATTTATAGTCTGTGATGTTCTTTCTATCTGTGCCTGGTGTAAGTTTATGTCTTTATGTCAGTGAATGTCATTTTTATTTTCGTAAAATATTGGGAATTGGTACTGGTAACGGCTAATTGGATTTAAAGTTGAAAAGATCTAGCATTATAAAATGGAATTTAATAGTACTGGTGGGATGAAAAGTCCCTTTTCTCCTCGTGTCAGACAATCTATTACAGGGCGAAGACCTATAGGATTAACATCTGCGAAAAAGAATCAAAGGTATAGTTAAAAACTAACCTGTATATTAAAAGTACTTAATAAATTATTTTTTTGTATATTTTTATGTATTTTACAGTAAGTTCATGCAGACAACTGATCAGCAGTCGGGAGATATAATTTATAAAACTCCTATGCTTACTATTGAAACTTATGGCATGCCACTACCAGTTATGGTTACAGAAACACTCACATTTGGTAAGCACATCGCTCTACTTCAAATTAAATACTTATGTTATCAGTATAATATATGATGCTATTTATTATCCTGTTATAGCTAGTGGAGATGTAAGTGTGCGCATGTCGCCTTGTGGATGGTGCTGGGTAGTTGCTGGACGAAGAGTGTTAGCATGGCCAAGGGAAGCAGCATCGTCACCTGCTGCTCCAACTGCTGCTAGGGAATTGACTTTACCGCAGACTGACTTGGCACATAAGGCAGATTTAGTTATGCTCTTTTATGAAGAAGGAGCACAGGTAAAGAAGAGTATTCTTTTAACAATAACATTGTAAATTAGAAGATCAACATAGAAAATGTATTCAAATTATTCCAATTTTATTACCTGACATTGAAATAAATCTTATCCAATCTTTAAAATAGCCTTTTCTAATGTTTTAGATGCCATCTTGCATTGGTGTTTCACCAGAGGGTGTAGTGAGATACTGGTCATCTGTAGGTACTGAAGGTGCATACTCCGATGTTTCATGTGAATTAGCAGGGCAAGAGTGTGATAGACTTACTGAAACTAAGGAAGGATTATTGCTGGCCACAACTACATGCACACTTGTTAAGATTACTACAAGTAATGGTAAGAATTATATTGTGAAATTAATCAATTAAAAAAAGCTTTCTGAAAAAGAAAGAATATGTTTCAATAAAAAAAATCCAATATTTACTTACATAATATTTTTTTTTAATATATTTATAGTTTATTATTTGAGGTAAATTAGCCAGACATTTTAAACAATTTTTACATACTCTTTGTGGTACATTAAAATATTTTTATTTATCTTTTATTTCAGAGGGAAGACCCACTGTTGTTTGTCAAACACTACGTCCTCCTAGTGGTTGGCTTGGAGGTATTGGCCGACGTGTTTCTCTACTCTTCTTTGGTTCTATGCCTGCTCATGCAGATACTGTAAGTTCTATCGAAGTGGTAATTATATTTAGTTTTCACTATGGTGATATTAATACTTCAAAATTTTACCTACATTTTTGATCTGTGGGTTAATATTTTTTTAAATAAAAATTTATATTTTGTTATTGTTTTAGAAATTAGTTGGTGTAGTGGTGCTACCGGGTACAACTAACCCTGAAAATCCAGAGGAAGAGGAAGAGGAATGTATAGCGCTGGTGGCTGGAGGTCCCCTGCTTCAGCTTTGGTGTGGTGCTGAAGTACATGAGCATCATTTACGCCGACCACTCTCTGAGGCCTTTGCAAGAGCTCATTTGGCTCCACAGGGTATGTTTATAAACTTATGACGTTATTATGAATAGAAGATGTATTTAGGGGTGACATCATTGTTTACCTAATTGTCAGCCTTTCCAAACCTACATTACTGGAAGTAAGATAGATTGTGTATCAGGCTTAATAAATTTAAATATTATACAATATACATGTGTTTTTATATTCAGGGATAAATTTATTATTATTATTTTTTTAACTATTTAAATACTGAATTTTTTTGTTTTCAGAATAAAATTCATTTGATTCTTCTTGGTAAAGGCTTCAAAACATGCCAGTTTCTAGATTAAAATGTGCATTTCTCTATACATTTTACATCCCATAATAATTTTTAAAGATTTGGTATATATTCATATTTTCGTTTTAAATTCACCAAGCATGGCTATATGTCCTGTGGTTATAGGAGACTTGAACAGCCTTGAGATGATGGCGTTGGACGTGCACGCGCACGGACCGCGCTCCCTGCTGCTGCTTGTGGCTGCTGTCAACGTGGCGCGTTCCCCGGAGATGCGATATGCAATTGGTATGTATGAGTTGATGTTTATGACATTAATATGAAGTGAAAGTTTCTATGCATGCATACCTGTCTGTTTGTTACTCTTTTATACTCCCGTAATATTCTCGCGTTCAAATTCTTCTATCTTTCTGTGTTATATATAAAAGATAATAACGTTTAGTATAAACTTAGAGATGAGATATTTTCCCGCAGTAAAAAGTATCCTATATGTTGACCCGGATAACCAGCTATCGTCTTAACAAATTTTTCATAGATGTTTTCATACTAAATTTCATCAATATCCCTCCAGTGGGTTTTCCGCGATGAGGTCACAGACAGACAGAGAAACAAAATTCTTAAAAAATATAGATTCAACCTCTGTATCGATAACTAGCGACTAGGTTGAATCACCAGATAAACTTTCATCTCCATTTTCACCCCCTTAAGGGAGGATTTCTGGGATAAAAAGTATCCTATGTCTTTCCCAGGGTCTCAAACAATCTTCTAACCAAATTCATCTAAATCGGTTCAGTAGATCCAGAGATTATCCCTACAACCTCACAAACTCACAAACTTGACCTCATTATAATATTAGTATAGATAATGTATATCCCATCAAAAACATACTGTAAAAATATTGCAAGTCTCGCAACGTATTTCTTCTACCGCAAAAAGCTATGAGATATAATGTAAAACCAAGTCGGTTAATTTATTCATTACCTATCTATGGAAGCATCTATCCGACAACTTTGTCATAAATCGTTACCGAATTAGTTAAGTTACAACATTTTATAGTGACCGTATTAATATTAGATATATTTATTTCTTTAATTAATAGAATGTAAGTTAGTTAGTGAGGTGAATGCTGATGAAATGGCCTCGATTCTATCGTAGACCGATTTGAACGTAGGTACCAGTTTGTGTAGCTCCAGGAAGTCAGGGACTCTCGGGACGCTACACATGACTGCTGTTGCTGGTGCTGGTGTTTGCGCATATATTTTTGTTATATTTGAAATCTATATACACAACTGAGAGCGGCTCTTGCTGCAGTATTGCCCCGAGGTGATAAGACACAAGCGACTCTCGCTACGAAAACACCCGAGTCTTCGATTACTCATATATTTTTTTTTAAATTAATTGAGATCTTCTATCAACTAAGAGGGGCTCTCGCTACGGTATTGCCCCGAGATGATAAGACACAGAGCGACTCTCGATACGAAAATACCCGAGTGTTCGGTTAGTTGTACATATATATTATTTTTATATTTGAGATCTTATATATACATGTATTAATTTATATATTAAATATATTTTTCCTTAAAACTATGCACTATATTTATAATCACATTTTAGTCGTCACTAATACTTACAGTATATCCACTATTCACCTAGCTATCTATTTGGGTAGTTTAATGTGACGACAATTATATGTATGAACTGCAAAAGTAACTTTGTGATCCCATATATCGCATATCTATTTGTATAGGATTACAAAGTTACTGATGCAGTTTGTTGTATATCTCGAAAACAGGATTGAAATTGCGTGATGTTTGAGTTTTTCCTTCGGTTATAGAGTGTGTTATTTGACAGCGCATATCAGTGTGGAGGGTGGCGGGGCGCGCGTGGTGTCCCTGTGCGCGCTGCGAGTGCCGCGCGACGACGAAGCGCCGCGTTGTCTGCCGCTACCGACGCGCCCTCTGCTGTACACTTCCTCCTACGTGGCAACTGTTTTACGTAAGTTTGAATTTGACATACGTTTTAAAGATTACAATATATAAAATTATGTCCGATAAAGACTACATTACTTTAAAACTATGTCGTAGTCATTAACGCCCACCTCCAGATTATATTAATATGCATTTGTTCCAATTTAAAATTTAAGACATTAACACACAACACCTCTAGCTCAATGGTAAGCTACGAGGCTTGTTTAATGGATACTAGATAGTTGATAGACTATACATATTATATAACTTTTAAAAACATACATATTATTATAAACACCCATGACTGGAGTACAAACATTCGTGTTTATCACACAAATAAATGCCCCCAGCGGGACTCGAACCCGGGACCGCTGGCACAGCAAGTAGGTTCACTACAAACTGAGCCAAACGTATCGTCAAGTGTCGTGTCGTAAGTACATGTGATTTAGTGATGATGAGACATATGATATAGATTTTGATAATATCCTTAAAGACTTCTTAAGAATTCTTAAGGATATTCTCAGATTAAAATATACAATGACTTTCTAACGCGCTGTTGACGTGTGCTTGTCGCGCGTTCGTATCGATACGAATGCACGTTATTTGCTTTTTTATATTTGTTAGGGCAGTATACGCATAAACGACTAACAAATATAATATGAAATTGAAATGTGGTGTGTGTAATCCTTTTTAAAGTGCGTTGTTTTATACGCTTTCTATGTATATAAATGAGGTTCTGAAGTTTAAATTTGTTTTTTTTTTCTTTTTTTTTTTAATAGAGTTCGGTTTATTTTTTGATTTAATTTACTTAAAGTGTATGTTCTCTTATGTCTATGATACCGATTTTCATAGTTTGTATCTGAATAATTTGCATTTCAAATAAATTTAATAATTTTAAGCCTTTATGTTAATACTTTTTTACATTTACGCGAATATTTGACATTTAAAAAATATGTACCTATATTTTCGGATTATTTCGCGGTTTTTTTTTATTATTATTATATTTGGTTCCTGGCGTTTTGAATGTTTTATAGCAGGGGTGGCCAACTTGATTAGACCCAAGATCGACTTTTTACTTACGAATCCCTGTGCGATCTACCATACAATATTTATACAAATATTTCCTAAAATTTTAAATGAAACAATCTAGTTCAGTATATACAATAATGTTATATTTTTTTTTATTACGAGGGAAAACATAAAATGAAATATATTACTAGTTACACTTAAATATCAGTGAGAACACTGCGCTTGAGCATCTTCCGCTAGATAACCAAAATCAGGTGTGTATTTCGAAATTGCCAACCTTAAAGAATCTAAAGTATGAGCATCTGTCAAGCGAGAGCGGTGTTTATTTTTTGTTTGTTTTAGATAGGAAAATGCTGATTTACATAAATATGTTGAACCAAAACACGAATGCAGCTGTTCAACACATTTCTTTAAATTTGGATATTTCTCGTTGGAAACCAATGCCCAGAAATCTAGATCTGAGGATGACCTTGCTTTAAGAAATATGTCGCAGCGTAGAGTAATAATTTCATTTTGTAACACCATGTGATCCATCTGAAATGTATCAGCAAATTTTTTAGCCATTTCATAAATATCGCTATGAGAAATGGAATCATTAAATGGATAACTGATGTGATCTTTCATATTTACAAATTGTTGAAAGGTTTCTCTTCGATGTCAACTATCATAGACGCTGTTTGACTCTGAAATGCTGCAACAATGTAATTCCAGATTTAATGTGCTTAGTTTTGCAGTAAAATTTGCTAAAAATGCGAAATCACATTGCCAGTCTGAATCACGCAGTTGCTAATAATCAACACCTCTCTCTCTAAGAAATTTTATTATTTCATCCAATAGATCTCGAAATCTTTGTAAAAACTTGCTTCGACTCAACCATCTTACGTCAGTGTGCAATGCCAAATCTGGTTCCTTTTCATCTAATGGCTGTTTAAAGAGCCACCCTTGGAGAGATTTTCCTTTTATGGAATTTACCATCTTGAAAGAAATATCCATCACATGTTTTGTGTTTAGTCTCTTACTAGCCAGCACTTGTTGATGAATTATGCAGTGATAACTAATAAAGTCTGGAAAGTCTTCGTCTTTGTGACAAAGAGCAATAAAATCATTATGGATTCCTGTCATTGCAGGAGCCCCATCAGTTGTCATTGATGCGAGTTTATACAAAGGTAGATTAATCTTGCCTTGCTTGAATATATCAAGGCCACGATTTTTTCCTTTTAAGGAAATCATACTTAGCAGTTCTTCTTTTATCGAGAAATCTACTAAAACCATTCGAATAAAAATGTAAAATTTACAGCAATCATGGTCACAGGAAAGACCTTCCGTTGATGTTAATTTTGAAATCAGTTACGTATTTTATTTAAATAGGTATTATTATTTGCAAAAATGATCACATTATAATTGTGTACATGTGTGTGTGTATGTGTAGCGTCGAGCGACAAGTGCGAGTACGTGGACGTGTCGGGCGAGGAGGACCGCGTGCTGGGCGCGGCGCAGTGCGCGGGGGTGGCGCTGTTGTTCAGCCGCAAGCACGGCGTGCTGCGCCTGCGCATGGCCGACGTCGACGCGGACCTGCATCACGCACCGTCCGTAATTTTTTTATTATTATAAATGTGAAAATTTCTATGCATACGTTACTTTTTAATAATGATACAGCTGGTCGGATTTGTATAAAATAGGGATTATGCGCGTGTTATTAATAAAGGTGTTTTTTTTTAATTTTTTTTTCATTTCATTTAATGATAGAAGACTCAAGTTAATATTTAGTTTTAAAGATTGTTTGCATTTTACTAAACAATTATTAATTGTAACATTTTAGAAAAAAGTTAAATTTATGAAATTACTTTTATGAATATATGAAATTATTTTTTCAATTTTCTTGCATGCTTTTTATGCATTTTCGTGGTTATTTCAAGTTTTTTATGTTCAATAGAGCTAGATCTCAAAAAGTTCATTTGAGCACAGATTATCTCATCAAGAAGACACGAAGTTGATTTATCGATAAAATAAGATCATTAAACTTTAAAAAGTTATAGTGTCCTCATAACTAATTTCCATTATGGTAGGTATTGACATTGTTTTTGTTTCCAGTTCAATATGCGATAGTCCAATGGGATCGCCGTGTCCCTCCGATATGTACGACGGCAACCTTTCTCTATATGAAATAGATCCGCATGAGGTAATAAAAAATCATTTATTTATTTTAATACTATCTATAATCTATATAATATATGTATATATAAATCAAATGCTGTTCGTTAGTCTCGCTTAAACTAAAAAATGGCTGGACCGATTTGAATAATTCTTTTTTTCGTTTTGTTGGGGGTATGTCAGGGTTGGTTGGTAAAAATAGGGTTTTCCTAATTTTTTTTTATACTTAAACCACCTTATTAATTCAAAAAGTTCAGAACTGTTTATTTTGTATGGGAATCACTACTTCGGATAACTTTCGATAGATGGCGTTAGTGGCGGACCACAATGCCTTAAGTTTTGGAAAAAAATATATACAATAAATTATATTAGTTTTCCCCTCGTACTGAAGGGAGGCCCGTGCCCAGCAGTAGGACGATAAAAAGGGTTGAATACCTATTAGTTTATTCCATACTAACCGTTAACGGACGAACCCGAGCGAAATCAGGGTGAAGCGCTAGCCATTAATATAATACTACCAACAATTTGAAAGTGTCAATTCGATTTGAAAAATTATTTCTGCATTTTATACCCTATTTATTATGGAAGATTAATAGGCTAACATCACCCTTCGATCTTTGATAGCAATGGCTTGTCATTAATATTATTCGTATTTTTGAAACTTAAAGTACGTTGCGCCGTTGAGTAATTTTAATGACTAGTTCTAGCTTATATTATTCGTGATCGGGACTCGAACCCAGTGAATCCATTTTTTGACAATATATAGCAGTCTAATGACGAACGAGGTCTATAATAGGCTTACTTCCATTTACATCGATACGAGACAACTGCGACAATATTTTAATATATGAATTTCTAATAGGTAAATATGTATTTTACGTATCAACCGAAATATATTAGATTGGCTTTGTATCGGCTGACACCGACTTCGAAAATATCTGATTAGGTATCTATTCTAAATGAAAACCTCCGTTTAGTTATTTTTTACATTTTGCATATGCCTTTTTATTGAAATAAAAGCCTTTAAAATAAATAGAAAAAAAAAAACATAACGGTATAGGTGAGCGCAATGAGCACAGACGCGGTCGGCAAATTGAAGAGCGCTTTCCTGTTCCACGTGCGCGGCGCGGGCGCAGCGGCCGCGCGCCTCGCCGCCGAGCTGTTCCCGCCGCCCGCCGCGCCGCCCGCGCGCGACGCGCCGCTCGACCGCACCGTGCTCGCCGTCGCCGCCGACATGCTGGACGACGTGCCCGCGGGGGACCCCAGGTGTGTTGGCGTTGCTATGGCGACGGTGTTTTGCGTTGCCATGGTTTCGACTTTGAAATGTATTTATGACTGTACACTAGGGTGTCTGTTATTTACCAAGTTATTTTTTTTCTTGCGACGCCCCCTAAATTTTTAGTTTATCTTGCAAAAAAAATTGAATGACCTCTCTACAAAATGAATTTCTACAAAAAAAGTTTCGTATAGTTTTTCGATTAATTCACTCCTTCAAAAGTTATTTAAGGTGAAAGTTGAACTTCGTGTAAAATTTCAATTTTTTTACTCTTGCGGCATTTTTTTACTATTTCGATAAAAAAATATTAGTTTATTTCTAAAAATAAATAATTCTGGTGGTGTTAGAATAAAAAAATTTTTTAGAAACCTTTTTTGTCGAGCGTTCAATTTCTTATAAGAATATGTGTCTCATTGCTGTAAATCGTCTTGTTCGATAAAAAAATAATAGTAAAGAGTAACAAAGTCCCATGTAATTTAAATGGGAAATGTGTAGTCTTTAGGGCAAGGTTTATTATGAATATTAAGGGCTTATTTTGGTCTGACATTTTTTTGGACAATAAACTAAAAAATTTAGGGGCATACCAAAAAAAATCAACTTGGTAAATAACAGACACCCTACTGTACAACCTGTGGTGTGCTGATGTGCTGCTTTATGTCTATAAATATAGTTTAGTTTGAAGTATTTAGCGCTGTTATCAAATTAGTACAAAGTCAAGTACATTGACGTACTGCTTGGTTGGTGCCTGTGTGATAGGATTTTTAATTAAATTGATGATGTGAGACGAAATGTTTTAATTGAGTATTTTTCATGCTATTTTTTCTAGATAACTTTAATTGTAATTCTATCGATTAAAACATTAATTTATATTGTAGTTTTTATGTTAATTTCTGATAATACTTTTACTATGTTGTACATTCCTGTTAGGTCTTGGAGACATTGAGTGTTTGTTAGTTATAGCATCAATTTTTATTACCATTACCAAGAAACTCAAACTAGTTATATTGTATTTCGATCAGATGGAAGATACGCAGCGGTGCGGCGACACGCGTGGCACTTGGCAGCTCTGCCGCGTTACAGACGGCTGCGCAACTGCGCGACAAACAACGCGCCTTCGCGTTGTTCCTAGAGTTCCTGCGCGCGCACGGGCTGTGGCGGCGACTGGGTTGTGTGAGCGTGGGGGAGGATGGGGATGTGGGGGAGGTCGGGGAGGTCGGTGAGGTCATCAGTACGCAGTGGGCGCTGTGCGGGCTGGCGGAGCGGTTAGCAGCGGCGCGCGGGCTACAGCGGTTACACGCTGCCGGTGCGCCGCTGTTGGACGCCGCGTTGCACGCCGCCGCCGACGCTGAGCGTGATGATGCTGAGGAGGAGGTGGTGGAGGCGCTGCGCAACGGGTCACTGTCGCCAGCAGACGTGTGCTTCCGGCGCGTGACGCGTGCCACGCGCCTGCTGCGTGCGCTGGCCACGCTGCCGTCGCCGCCGGCGGCGCACGACGCTCGTGCCGCGGCGCTGCATGCGCTACACGCCTGTTCTGCGCTCACCGTCAGTATATCTCTCTCTTTCTTTCTATCAATGTTTCTGTCTCCATCGCTTCTTTAATTTTATTAATACATTATTTGCATTTAGTAATTTTCATTCTTACGTTCCTGAGCTTATAACAATTTTTGATTGTATTTTTATACTAAATTTCAAAATTCAATACAGATAAGGTTATGTTCTGAAGTAATACATATACATAGGCTGATGTTAGACGAAGTGAAGGTACATCGCTTTTAATTTATATACATGTTTGTATAAAAATGTTAGCGACCTCATAATATATGAATAACAAAAGCAATGAACATAGTGGGGGTGTGTTTTATATCTCGCAGACGGTGGTAACGGAGATGCACAAGTGCCGCGCGCAGTGGGCGCAGTGGGCGGGCGGCGCGCCGCGGCCGGCGCCGGCGCTGGGCCCGCGCGCCACGCTCTCCGCGCTCGCGCAGGCGCACAAGCGCGCCGTCTCGTGAGTATACATAGTACATACTAAATATCCCTCTACCTACTAGAACAATGTGTTGGCAGTTTTTGCAGTGAAACTTCTTTAGAATCGTTATCGGACGACACGTTTGGCTCAGTTTGTAGTGACCCTACTTGCTGTGCCAGCGATCGCGGGTACGAGTCCCGCTGGGTGCATTTATTTGTGTGATGACCACGTATATGTTTGTACTCTAGTCATGGGTGTTTATATTTATGTATATATTTAAAAAGTTACATAGGTGTAGTGTATCAACTATCTGATATCAATAACAGAAGCCTTGTAGCTTAACATGCAACTAGATGGTGCTGCGTATTAATGTCCCAACATATTTAAATAATTACTAGCAGAACCCGCGGCTTCGCTCGCGCTGAACTACAAAAAAACTAAAAAGTTCGGGTTCATACAAACTTTCATCCCCTATTTTAGCCTCTTATGGGATGAATTTCGAAAAATGCTAAAACATTTATTTATTTAATTTTATTGAGGAGCTAAATACCAAGTTTTCAGTAATTCTGACAACAAATATTTTTTGTGTTGTATTGTAACGTGCTTTCCTTGGGAATGAGATAATCTCTCACAGTAAAAAGTAGCCTACGCCACTCTTTAGTCCTCCAACTATCTCCACACAAAAATCACGTCAATCCCTCACTCTGTTTCGACGTGAAAGAAGGACAAACAAATACACTTCCACATTTATAATATTAGTATGGATGATATAACAGTCAATGCGCGCGTCGCTGCGAGGACGCGGCGCTGCGCGCGCAGCTGCTGGAGGGCGCGGCGGCGCTGGCCGACCTGCTGCTGGCCGACGCGCAGGCGCTGCCCGCCGCGCGCTACGACGACCTGCGCGCTGACATTATACGCCCATACAGTAAGTCACGAAAATATTACACAAAATACCATAAAGATGATTAAATTGTATGTACAATTTCATTTTCTTGTTAACGAAGCACAGATTACTTCGCCAATGTCACATAGAATGGAGAAAACCAGGGCTCGGAATCCCGTTAAGTTTTTAAATCAGGTTTGGTTGTTGACTCTAAAATGAGCGCTTTTCGGTTTAAGGTTTCGGTTGCGTTCTTTAATGGGTCAATTCATCAATGATCAAAATTAATTTAAAAACCGGTAATTTTTTTTTGTAAAATAAAATAATATTCAGACCTATTTTAACGTCCTCTTGCTGCGCACGGGCCTCCCTTTAATACGAGAAAGTATCAGGCTGCCCACCCACATCAGTAATAGTCCACCACGCTGGCCAAGTGCGGGTTGGCGGACTGCACAAGTCTTTCGAAAACTTGTTAGGTTCGAGCAATGAATTAACCGAAATAAACCGTTTCTTTAAAGCGGTCCCGAGTCTGGTACCATGATGTTATTAATACCACGTTTAACGCAATGGAATTAAAATATAGATCAAAAGTAATAAATCAGTGATTATTTGTTTGAAATCTATCAATAAATGACTGAGAAATTAACTGTTCACGTTTAAGTCGACACGTTAGGCTCAGTTTGTAATGACCCTACTTGCTGTGTCAGCGGTAGCGGGTTCGAGTCCCGCTGGGAAGGTTCATTTGTGTAACGAGCACGAATGTTTGTACTTCAGTTATGTTTTATTTTATAATATGTAAGTATTTAAAGTTGTATATGTGTAGCGTATCAACTATCTTGTATCCATAACACAGGCCTCGTAGCTTACCATGGGACTAGATGGTGCTGTGTGTTAATGTCCCAACATATTATTATTTAAAGTATTTTAACGCACAATAACAACGGTCTCTTACTCGAGCGTGATGTCATTTGACCTGAGATCGTCGCACCACAAAATATCAGTCAATTACTCAGTTGTTTCTAAGTCACAAAATATAAAAATAAAATTCACCCTGTTAGAGCAATAATTTTTTGTTAAGGTTATTTTGAAATTCACGCTATTTTATAGATTAACATCGTTATAAAATTTATAACTTCTGTTTATTTTATTCGGTAATTATTATTATGTATATAAATAATTATTTAATTTTATTCCAGTCGAGGAAGGCCAAATAGAACGGGCGGCTGTGTTGGCGGAGAAGTTCAAAGATTTTGATCTGTTGATAGAAATGTGCGTACAGCGCAATGACATAGAGCGTCTCTATGGATACATTGACAAATATTCTGATGAGGTAGGATTTTTTTCTTATATTATTTATACACTATTTAGTATTGGTATATAGGGAAAGAAAGAGCTAGCACATAGATATTGTTTTAATCAATTTGTATTTCTTAGAAGGCTGGTAAAGAGCGAAGGATTTTAAAATTTAACATATTGTTTGTGTTTGGTTAATGGTTCGAAGATAGTCTTCCCGTCAACCGTAAAGTCATCTCTCATATATCATATAAAAGTATGCTTAGTAGACTGTGGTTATACTGCGTTTTCAATATTTGGGTTATGAGACTGTGGTTATATGTATGTGTGTTATGTAAGTATATTACTACAGAGTTACTACAGAGCAAAACAAAGAATTACGAACTTCATGCTTTCTTAGATTTATGCGAGTATTTGACATTTTAAATAAAATTACATTTTCTGATTTTTTCGCTTTATTTTGATTTTTAGTTCCCGACGTTTCGAACGTTGATGTTGGGAACTGAAAACCAAAATAAATTCGCGAAAAATAACCGAAAAAGTACGCACTTCGTTAGACTACGAGTACTATGTACATTATAATAACACGTGTTTTAGATTGTGCTATTGTAGTATTAAGTTTTCAACACGTATATATTGCTATACATGTGGTGATATATTCCAGGGTATAGCGGAGAAAGCGTACGCGTGGCTAGCGTCGCGCGGGCACTCGGCGCTGCTGCTGCGGCGGGTGGCGGCGCGCGGCGGGGCGCGGGCGGCGGCGTGGCTGGCGGCGGCGCCGGCGCGGCGCGGCCTGCGCGCGCTGCACCACCTGGCGGCGGGCCCGCACGCGCTCGCCGCGCGCCTCTACGCCGAGCTGGCGGTGGACGCTGACACTGTTGATAGGGTCACGGTGGGTGCTGTGTATTGTATGCTATACTGTATATATATTACTGTTTGTCCCCGATTTAACTTGTTATAGTTTAACTATGTATTTCTATAGTTTTTAGAATTTTTGTCTGTCTATTAGCTATTTTTAATAATCTTTTGGCAAAAATGTTAAAAAATTAATAATAATAACAAATAATAAAATTATTTATTTCTCACCACAAACCAAATTACAAATTATTACATATATCAATATCAAAGTTCATAGTTGAGCATAAGCTGGGTGATGTAAAATCATTACATAGTATAAAACAAAGTCACTGTCTGTCCCTATGTATGCTTAAATCTTTAAAACTGCGCAACGGATTTTGATGCAATTTTGTTAATAGATAGAGTGATTCAAGAGGATGGATTTAGTATATAATTTATAAAGTTTTTGTATACATTGGCTAAAATATAACGATATTTGTTGGAGGTGTCGGAAAAAGATAAGCCGTCTTTCGGGGGCTTTCAACGAAAACGCTGCCAAAACCCTTTGAGATATAAGAAAATAATCTATGGTGGACTTGTGTATCTTATATACGTCTACCGCGAAAATTCCGCGATGACATGTGTATCTCTTAAGGATAACATACTATATCCATTTTAATTTAAAACGTACCTAAGGACGAACCCGAACCGAGGGTGAGTCGCTTGTGTATGTATAGTAAAAATATTCATGTACCCTTTATGCAGACATTCGCATCAATCGCAAAGCTGTGCATGGTGGCGTGCGAGGGCGAGGCGGGCGGCGCGGGGGAGGTGGGGGAGGCATGGCGCGCGGCCGAGGCGCGGCTGGCGCTGGCGGAGCAGCAGCAGGCGCTGCCGCGCGCCGTCGCGCTGCAGCACGGCCTCGACGCGCCCGGCGCCAGGCTCGCGCACCCTGAGGAACTCGTGCAGGTGATAGTGATAGATGGCTGGTATTCAGCCCTTTTTATTATCCCACTGCTGGGCATAGACCTCACTTCCAGGGCTGCCAGTAGAGATAATTTTTTGTTAATGTTGGGAAATGCAGTTACACATACCATCTGTACACATACAGGTGGTTATGTGGGACTCACCGGCTCGAAAAGCTTGTACTACCCACTAAAGCCAAACAATACCTCCCCCGTCTTAATGGGGCGTCGCAGGATTGTTTACGCACTCAACTACGACGCCCCGACAGTAGAGACAACTGCTTTTTTTTATTTTTTTAACGTTGGGAAATGCATTTACGCACGAGGTGTGGGACTCACCGGCAAAGCCAGTACTACCCACTAAAAACCCGCATGGTACACCACCCTCCGAAGAGGGCGACCTCCCACCGCCCACCGAAGCGGGCCATCTCCCTATGCGTTACTTGGCTTCGCGCCCGGCTGAATTGCCGGGCACTACTGAGCCCCCCCCACCACGACAAGGTGAACGCACGTTGGGGGGGGGAGAGACAACTGCTGCTAGTAGAGCCAACTTATTTTATACTGCTTGGTCACTGAAATTATACCAAATCAAATTATCTTAAATACAAATTAACACAACTGTTGAGAAATAGTATGTGACGAATAAAAAAAATCAATAAAAATACGTAATAACTTTAAATTATATATGTAACATAAAATAACCGAATTTTACAATTTTCGTATCCAATTATATGATCTAGCAGCCTTGCTACCTTTATTAGTACGAGAGGGATCACGCGATAGTCTTCCATGCTGTCTAAATGCGGGTTGGCGGACATAACATGTCTTTCGAAAACTTGCTTGCTCTCTCAGACATCCGAGTTTTTTCGCGGTGTTTTCATTTAGCGTAAAAGAAGTGGTAATAATGTTGAAAATAATTCACATATGAAAATAGAGGAGTGAGACTCGGGATTTGAACCCGCTTCTCTTGGTTTCCTAAGCGAGTACGATACCACTGGATTACTACTGCCTCTGGCTCAAGTGTTGTATTATATTTTGCTTATTAATAGTTTATTTTTATAGGCTATGACCATTTTGGAGAGATAATAAGTCTAATAATATTTTTATTTCATACTCTAGTTTTTATTGATACGAGGCTGGTGTCATAAGTTTGTAACACTAATAGCGGCTTTGAAATCTTAAAATAAGAAAGAAGAAGATTATAGTCAAATATAGTATAACACCTGTAAATCTTCATGAGTTATAAGTATTTAATCTCTTAGCTATAATAAAAATCAACATCAAAATAACTTAATTTTACCCCATGACTTAACGTCTGAATAATTAAATAATTTTTATACTATTTTATTTCCACAGATGTACATAGACTCCGATAGTCCTTCTCTCACCGAGTATGACTACAAGAAAGCGCTAGATCTCACTGATTTTGTGCCGGACATGGAGAGAAGGGACGAACTTAGATTACGAGTAAGAAAATTAACCTAATTTGTATATAATATGACCCTAAAATAACAAAAAATACTAACTATTGTCGGTAACAAGTGTATAAAGCCCTTTGAAACGTCTAAAGCCTTAGTCTCCCGTGACCATGATTGCTGTAAGGCATTCAAAACGTCTGGAATCAAAAATCAAAATTAATCCGCGAAAAAAATCCTAAAAGATAGTTTTTTTGTAGTAGAGCTAAATGAAACTTATTACTATATATAACATTAAGGTACATTATAATAATTACACTACTTATTAAACGCGTAAATTTTTTAGTGGCAATATACTTGCCAGCCGTGGTCACTGTTTTGTAGTGAATGCGCAAGCGATCCTGCAACGCCCCATTGCACTGCGGCGACAGGTTCCGCTGTGGGTTTTAGTGAGTAGGAGTCTCACAGTACCTTGTCCGTTATGACGGCAGGCAGGGTCCCCATGATGGGTTTCCCCAGCGTCAACAAAAAAAAAAAAGCCGTGGTCACGATCAGACTGACCAGTCCCGTAGCGTTATCTTTATATATATAATTCTTCTGTGAGTGTGTATGTCACTGAACTTCTCTCAAACGACTGGACCGATTTTGATGAAATTTTTTGTGTGTGTTCAAGGGGATCTGGGAATAGTTTAGATTCACAATTTGAATAATAATTTTCATCAAAAAAAATAATAAAAAATGTTTGAAATTTTCAAATTAAAGACCTGTAGACAGGACAACGTCTGTCGGGTCCGCTAGTTATTATATAATTATGGTACGCGAAAATTTAAAAAGTTATTAATAATGTCCATTTTTGCAGGTGTGGTGCGCGTGCATACGACGCGATGACTGGTCGCAGGCGCGCATGGACGCGCCCGCCGACGCGCTGCGCGACATCATGTTCTTCCGTCTCATAGACCTTGTGCATCTCATGGGTATTAAATCTTTTACTTTTCAATCTCACTGACAATATTTTTATTTATTACGTTTAGTATAGATTTTTTAGAGATGAGATATTTTCCCGTAGTAAAAAGTATTTGGATAACCAGCTATCATCATACCAAATTTCATCAAAATCTGTCAGAGTTTTCTCGTGATGCGGTCACAGACAGACAAAATTATAAAAATTAGATTCGGCCTTTGTATCGATAATAATGATTAATAAGATTCAATTAGAATATAATTCAATAAGATTTCAATAATCAATAATTCAATAAGATTTTCCAAAAAATATTTAATGTACAGATGCGACTCAGTTAGAACTTTTGTTATATAAATAGATGATGTAAATTATATAAATAATTTCGTTTTTTTTTTGGAAGATGAATGTTTATAAATAAATTCTTTTGTTATCTGCTAGATAAATTAAATGACTTGGTTAATTCATCGATGACAGCTATCGGAAAAGTGTTTAATTGTGCCAAAGGCTTTACATTTTAAATATAATTCATGAAAACTATAGTTTAAAATATGAAAAGAAGTTATCAAGTAGTTATTGTATGTAATGTTTGCAAACCAATTATTTAGTTTCAATAATTTAATGCTGAATATAATATTTTGAATAGAATTTTAATATGTGGAAAGCAAAATCGTGGCCTGTGGTGGAATAGGCAATGGAGATTAGAGTGTTTTATTAATTCTTTAAAAATAGTTTTAAATATCACTAATCTGTATATTTATAAACTACTTGCGAATCACTGGACGGTTTTAATTGGTATTCTTTGTGAAGTCTGAATCATGTTTAGAAAGTACTAAATACAGGCGTCTAAAGCCGCACTCTAATCTATACATATAAAAAATTCTGAGTGGAATCTGTACCTGAAATGTTTTTTGGAAAACCTTGTTTTTTGTCTGCCTGTCTGTTATCTGTCTGTGACCGCATCCTTGGAGGGATTTTGATGAAATTTGGTATGATGATATCTGATTGTTCGGGTTAACATATAGGATACTTTTTACTGCGAAAAAATATCTCATCTCTGAGAAATCCATACTAAACGTTCAAACGCATATATTTAATAAAAACTAAAAATACATATAAACGTAATTTATTTGTATGTTAATTCCAGGTGGTGATGTAGAATTACTGCTGCCGCCGTTAGACGACATTTTGACGGCGCGCGAACTTGCCGACCTAGTGTCCGATACGCGCTTCCGCTTCCTGCTGAAGTATGGCTACCAGTGTGTGCTCTCGCACAACGACGACGTTGACGACCAGTAGACCGACAGTAGACCACCATTAGACCGTCAGTGTACAACCAGTAGACCGCCAAAAAACCACCAGTAGAACACTTTCATGTCCAATGTAAAGTCAAAAACTGTAATTGTTGGACGATCGGAATTATTTTTGTTTGTATTAAAAATTCTTTCTAAAATTATGTATGTTATGAATATATTATTTTATGACTCCGAAAATACAATAACGTTCAAATAGCATTATTATTATTTTTCAATTATTTGGTACATTTAATAATTATTTATATATGTATTTATTTTGTATAAAAATTATAATAAAAAAGCAGGAAATAATAATTATTAATGTTATATAAAATGTACATTTTTTTTGCTTCAAATGAAATATGGATTCCCGTCAAGCATTAATTTTTCAAAAAAGTAAATCTTTCCAGGAAATCATAACATGAATATTATAACTTTACCACTTAGTTTAATTTTTAAAACTATTTTTATATGTTTCTTTGTCTTTAATTGTAAAATGTAAAACTCCTCACCATTCGATAGGTTCTGTCAGACTGATGTAGACGTAAGATTAATTACACTGTGATTGATGTAATTATTAACTATTATATAATAAATTGTTTTATAAATAATAAAGTAACTAAAAAAATGTATGTTTTTTTCTGACTAATAGTTTTAAATAAAACTATCTTTTCGGATTTTTTCGCGGATTTATATTAATTTTTGATTCCCGACGTTTCGAATTTATAGCATATTTATGCTTTACAGCAATCATATATCATGGTCACATGATTGCTGTAAAGCATTGCTACAAACCAAAAATCAAAATACATCCGCGAAAATATCCGATAAGATAGTTTTATTTCACTAATAGTGTTTTCTCCTATCGTTATTTCGTATAATGATCGCTCTCGTAGGTCGTACTGTGAGATTTTTCCAAATCTGACCAATACATAGTGTTCAAAAAAAACCTAAGCTTTATTTAACCAGTATAGACTGGCGATTTATCCTTGCTTCACTCTTGCACATCTCTAGGCAAGTTTTAAATAGATAAAAATGGACATTGTGAGTATACCTTAGAAGATAGATAATATGCCTACTGTGTACTTTATCGTAGGTCTTTTTTAATTTTTAATACATTGTTTTGATGTATCTTTTACGTTTAGCCAACGTTGGTTGTAAATTTCTAAGGACAACTCGACGGAACCAGTTGATTTCTCGTGGAAATGAACGATTTTCCTGTAATAAAAGATGTGCGAAAAATAAGTTATCACTATTCAAAATTTAGTTAAAATCGGTTCAGTATTTTCTATCTATATTTGTTGCTCTCGGGGGTCTATATTCCGTACACAACACGTATAAATATATATAAATATAATAATAATAAATGTATATAAAATATTTTATGTACATAATTCGCTTTGTATTTAGTATTGTATTATATACTAGCAGTACCAGCGGCCCACGTTCAAACTACAAAAAAAAATCGAACTGACACACTGACAGCAACGCCACCTACCGGTGTTTTCAAACCATCCAGGAGCCCATTGAAATATACACACAAAAATTCATCTAAACCGGTCCAGCCCTTAAGGAGGAGTAAGGTGACAAACACAAGAATTATAGATATTAAGATATATGTAGGTGTGGGTTGGGCTGCCTCTGTCTAGTAGTTAGAACGTGCGGGGTTATTTATCACGAATTACTCAATAATTGCGCGGATTTGGGAAATTGGCGACGAATCCTGTGTACCTACTATAAGTATTTTACCGATCATGTCATTGTCGTCCCTCGTAAATAAAAGATTTAAAGGAATAAGTACCTGGGCGACCCAGCTTCGTTTGGCATTTTCTTTGTTTTTCAGAAAAGATATAAAAATGCATTTTTTTTTTCAAAAAATCCTTATCTAAATACAAAATTTAATCCAAATCGTTAGAGCCGTTTCCGAGATACACGAAATAAATTTATATACATATAAAATATTTTTTACTCTCCTGGAAATCTCAGATTCACACATCTCAGATACCAAGCTCTACCAACAATTTTATTATATTTCTGTTCAGTGTTTTTTATATTTCTGTATTATTATTCTACATAGAATGATACTTTTCGTTTTATGTTAATTAATAGCATTAAAATTTACATGTATGCAAAAAAAAAAACATTTTGGCGCCATTTTCCGCCGCCATTGCGCAAAGCAGACGTCACCGTCGTCCGTCAGTCAAATGCCGCGTCGCACTCACGGCGCACGCGCGTTATTTCCTACCGATTGTTTATTTACTTCTTCGCTCCCTGTGTCGTAGCGCGTCTACGAAGTATTGATTTAGAAATATTGGTTTGTGATTGTGCATGTGAAATTATAAAATTATACAGGATATTAAGACAACAATTTAAAATCGTGAGTTGAACATTTTGTTTACATTTAATTATTTTATTGTTGCATTTATTAAATCAGGAAAAACTAAGTTAAAATTAATAACAAATGCAGTTATAGTAATATATATACATATAATAAAATTGTAACTAAGCCGAATCTGTAAATTAAATATTTTTTTAGAAAATCTTATTGAAATAAACATTATTGTCGATATAGGCCGAATCTATAGTTTTTATAATTTTTGTCTGTCTGTCTCTGTCCGTCTGTTACCGCATCACAGAAAAACCACTGGAGGGATTTTGATGAAATTTGGTATGGTGATAGCTGGTTCTCCGGGTCAACATATAGGATACTTTTTACTGCGGGAAAATATATAGTTTCTGAGAAAAAAATTACAAAAACTGCAATGTAAGAGTATACCTACTAATATGTAAAACCTAAGAATTTGGTTTTTGGTCTTCTGAACGCGGGCGGAGCCGCGGGCAATGCTAGTTTCACATATATTTTAATTCGTAGGTATTAAAAAATGACCGATTTTATATAAAATTAAACGAACGTAAGAAAGCATCTATGAATTAATATAATGTTTCCTTCTAAACATAGTTAAAATACATTGCATATGTAAATGAAGCACAGTTAGTTAAGTCTTTAATTTTCTTTATGTTCTCAAAAGAAATGCAAGCGCCAAGCACTATTTGTCAAGAAAATATGTTTTCCTTTTTTAACTTTTAACTCGCTGAAAACTATTACATTAGCGTCAAATATTACCTAAGTATTATTATAATAGCCAGATACGCTCTACTAGATACAAAGAACATGAAGCACTACAGTTGCTAAGACTTTCAAATTTCAAGATTATTTTGTTAAACCGACAAAACCTTTCTTAACGAACCTGGTCGAATTTATATTTTAAATTAAACTTAAAATGTCTATTTATACTACTTTCTAGTTATTAGTTATCATGTTGTATCTAATTTGAAAGATTTGACAAGCGATTTAATTTGATAAGTATTTTTAGTAAAGACATTCGTAAAAAAAGTCAAATTTAAAAGTAAAAAACTAAAAAGAATATAAACATGACTTTTCGGTGAAATTTGTATTTGAAAAAATGCCATTTAATTTCGACACGTTCCATAGATATTGGCGATACACAGGAATTAGTAATTTCAAAATAAAGGGTACATTGCTACCTTATACATATATCAAATAAAATCAAGGTCATTTTTTATTCAGCATAAAAATGTTATACTTCAACTGTTTTATTTTTAGAATTTTAGAAGATCAATACTTCAAATTGGAAATGCTGATTTGAGCTGAAAATGAGACATTGCTGCGAGAAAAGCTTGGTTGACGTTATTTGTTTTCTTTCTTATTTTTTTTTATTTTTATACCACCTTTTTCGATTAATTTAAATTAAAAAACTTACCAATACTACTTACTTAAGTTTGTAAGTATACATAGATAGTAGGTAGACTCGCAACATTTGATGAATCAGCAGTTGAAAGACGTTAGTCGAGCGTGGCGACATTGAAATGTTCTATAGTATAGTAGGGGAGCCCAAGAGGGGATTTTTGGAGTTACTCAAGCGCGACAGATTAACATAAGGGGGAACCTTGCACTCTGTTGAGTATATACAATATAATATAAATCCTCTATATATGGGCGCGCGTCTAGGGCAGCCGATCAAAATATTTAAAAATATATATATTTTGATAAGGTACAAATACTGGAAACCGTCAGATTAAGGTATGGTGGACTAATTAAATCCTGAGAGGTGTGCAATTTAATAATCTACTGATTTGCACAAGCCGAAGAGGCATAAATCGACTATAAACTTTATGTACGATATTTGCCTTATAGTAATCTGCAGCGCTTGAGTAACTCCAAAAATCCCCTCTTGGGCTCCCCTACTAGTACAAAAGTGTTTAAATTTTTCTTGTCTTTCCTACGTATTATTTATATCCGTATAGCAAAATCCTTTATCTAAATCAATAAGTACAATTAGGTCGGAATTTATATTTATTTTTATACTGCAATGACAAATTTAAAAAGTTTCATGAAAACATATTTTTTGAATTTTTTTATGGAAACCCTTTTAGAGTACTGTCGGAATGGAAAAAAAAGAATACTTATATTTAGAATTTAAATTTAGAATTTATGTAGGTATCGGGTAAGTTAAGAGTCGGCTGCCCACTTAGCCATTACCCGTTCTTTAATAAAATTAAAATTGTGAAAATACTAAGAAAATTGATTTGATCATCAAATAAAACTGCACTAAGTACTAAGGTACTACATATAAATATTAAACTGCGATTAAACTAGCAAAAAGTCTAAAAACTGTGCATTTAGCTTTTATTCTATTTCAAACAATTTACTTCTAAATGAATTGGTCAATTTTTCAAAAGTGATTAATATACAACTATTGCAATTTCTTCATCACATTCACATTATACAAGTTCCGGAGTGAATGGCTTTGTTACTACTTCAGTTCCTTCCTGTAATATGTTTTTATATACTTCATTATCTTTTATGCCATTATTTTAATTGACGTATCTAACCAGCGAGTTATATAATACTAGCGACTCACCCTCGCTTGGGTTCGTCCCTAGGTTGATTTCCCATACAAATTTTCATCCCTATTTTCA